TGTGTGTGTGTGTGTGTGTGTGTGTGTGGAGCCTCTCAGTGCAGCTGTGGTTTAAGCTGGTTTCAACATTTCCTGGTTAAGTATCAGCGACACGTTGTGTGTGATTGTGATCCCTCACCCTCCAGTAGCACAGCCACCAGCGGTGTGCGATCACTGTTCTTGGTCTGCTGCACCAGCAGCTCCCCGTCGTCCAGAACATGAGTGACCGGGTCGCCCCATTTGATGATGCCGTTCATGATGTAGCTGGAATAATCCTCCTGGTTCGTACCAAACGCCTGAGGAGACAAAGAACTCAACCTGAGGAGGTGTTCAGGGTTCCGTCGGACTGAATCCTTGCGGTCAGGGGCGTCAGCTGGTACGTACGGGTTTGATGTCGTTGTTGAGGGATCCCAGGAAGTCGGCTCTGGTGACCTTCAGCTTCTCTGCTCGCTCCATGTCCACCTCCACTGTGGACGTAGCCTGAGGAGGAACGTCGGAGCAAGTTCATGAACTGTCTCTGCACTCGGCACATTAACAAACACTTTGACCAAGTTCACAGTCAAATATGTCAACGTGACATTAATTACTTTCATATTGAATTTTTACATTACACAGTTTTAAGAAAAGTTTTTGGAGCCGAGTCGGTGTGTCTCTATTCTGATATTTATTTTAATTTTATATGAATCAGATGAGATAAGATGAAAATACCTTTTAGTAGATGTCAATAGAAATGAGGTTAAAATAATTATTTCTAATTGTTAGCATCTGACGGACGTGTATTTGAAAGAGGGACCTTGATGTGTCGGTTCATGGCGGTGGACTGAGCGGCCCTGACCAGACCCTCCAGTTCTGCTCCGCTGTAGTTCTTGGTCTCAGCAGCCAGCTCCTTGATGTCGACGTCAGCGGCCAGAAGATTGAAGCCTCGCATCTTGTTGGTGTGGATGGTCAGGATCTGGACACGCCCCTTCTCATCAGGCAGACCTGGAGGAAGAAGAAACGAGAGTTGAGATCAGGGAGGAGGAAACGAACCTCGTGAGATCAGAACAAGTGTTTCTCATATACTCACTGATTTCCATCTTGACCTCAAACCTGCCGGGCCTCATCAGAGCGTCGTCGATCAGGTCGGGTCTGTTGGTCATACCTGGACAGAGGAAGAGGAGGATTATGGGTAAGTATACCTCAATATTTGTCAACTCCACACAGAAAGACCCCGGCCGAAACTGGGATTCGAACCGGTGACCTTCTTGCCCGGAAGAGACAAATCTAACCCAGGACAAATCTGCAGCTACGCACCAATGACCAGGATGTTGTTGAGCTGCTCCACGCCGTCAATCTTGGACAGAAGCTGGTTGACCACGGTGTCGTGCACGCCCGTGCTGCTGGCGCCGGTGCCTCTCTGCTTGCAGATGGCGTCCAGCTCGTCGAAGATGATGATGTGGAGGCCGCTGTTGGCTCCCAGCTGGAATGGGTGGAGTTCAGAACAGTTAACGTCAGGTGGTTTTATTCGTACATACACAGAGGTGCACCGAGCGTCCCTCACCCTCTTCTGCTCCTCCTCTGCGTCGGCGAACAGTTTGCGGATGTTGGCCTCAGACTCTCCCACGTACTTGTTGAGGATCTCTGGGCCATTGACGACCTTCGGCTCACGGGCGTTGAGCATCTTGCCGATCTGCCGGGCCATCAGCGTTTTACCGCAGCCTGGGGGGCCGAACAGCATGATGCCCTTCACGTGCTTACACCCTGCAGCGAAGGAAGGGGGGGGGGGGCAAGAGGAGCATAAACACTGGTTTAATAAAATGAATCATATCATCGTCATCGTGTGTGTGTGTGACTGTGACTGTGACTAACCCTGTCTCCTCCAGTTTATTACATTCTGCTCCCTCAGGAAAAACTCTTCCAAACAATGTCTGATCCATTAAATCCAAAATAATGTAAATTTTTTTATGATTACTAAACTCAAATATCCAAACAGTTAATTCCCTCATTGGTCAGAGGGACCATGATTGAAATCCGTCTCGGTAGAAATGTAATAACGTCAGTCACCCATCTGCTCCACGATGTCTGGAGGGAAGACTCGGGAGGCGAAGGCTCTGCGGAAGATGTCGGAGAACTCCCTGTCCAGACCTCCGATCCCCATCTTCTCAAAGTTCCATTCCGGGTTGATGATCGTCTGTCGAGCCTCCTTGGTCTTTGCCTTTCCTGTGAACATGTTTGGTGGAACACGTGGGAAACATAATGTTTATTAATGAACATATATAATGTCTGAGATCAGGGGGGTTTATTTAGATATGTGTGTTTGTCATTGAAGTGAAGTTGCTATCTATATTGCACAATATGCTGTATATATATATATATATATATATATTCCTATTTTGTAAAATGTTTATATTTTTGAGGCCTCTCTCTCTCTCTCCCTCTCTCTCTCTCTCTCTCTCTCTCTATCCCCCCATGAGATAAATCTGTGATGTTGTTTTGCTGCCACCTTGTGGACTGTTTCCTGAATCTCATTCAGCAGCTCTGAGTTGGATGTTTTTTAAAATCTAAAGGAAAACAAAGACGTTCAGCTGTGATTCACTTATTTTCCGTCTCTGCTCTCGACCCGATCGAACCCACAGTCTGAGGAGGAGAAGGAGGAAACATACCGACGAGTGTGAGGGAGGAACTCTCCGCCTTCTCAAACACCACCTGACTGTTTCCCACCATCAGGCCGACGTCGATCTGTCAGAGGAATATTTACACTTTGATTATCAGCAGCATGACATTCATGCTAATGTTGTTATTACCCTTAATTAACCTTTATTATAATAATCATAACTTAAACACCAGAGGTTACCAGACTGTTTCTGTTAGAGCGCCCCCTCTCTGTGGATCCAAACTGCTCATCATCTTTTAATTCTCTCATGAAGACACATTTTTATAGGGGGAGGGTTTAGATGAAACCCGAGCGGTGACAGTGACGCCTCGTACCTTCTGCGGCTTCTTGGCAGAGGCCGGCTCTCCTTTGAGGATGCTGGAGTCCATCGCCTCGATGTCCTTCACCATCAAACCGAACAGCTTGTCGCAGAAGCTGAAGACGAGCTGAGACAGAGAGGAAGATTTTAAAGATCAGTACGGAGGCGGAACAGTCGAGCTCCTCCTGGTGTGAGCCGGTGAATGTGAGCCGGTGAATGTGAACCTGCTGCGTGACGGAGAACGCCTGGTTGTTGAACTGCTGGATGAATTCGGCGGCCATCTTGTCGGAGTCGTAGGGGGAGGAGTCGGTGCTCTTCTTCTGCAGGAAGTCGATCTCGATTGTCATGGAGCCGATGCACTGCCTGGACTTGTCAAAGTTGTAGTTGGACACTGTCGGGACACAAGGAGGCGAAATGTAGCTCGTACAACAACGTGAGTGTGAAACAGAACGAGATCCATCCATCTATCCATCCATCTATCTATCCATCTATCTAGTGGTAAATCCTGTTTGAATATAATGAACCATATTTTACCTTCCACCTCCTGACCGATGGAGAGTCCGGCCCATTTCCTCTGGAGAGATAAAGGAAACGATCATTAGTAGAGACCGAGCATCGAGAGTGTGTGTGTGTGTGTGTGTGTGTGTCAGTGTGTGTGTGTGTCAGTGTGTGTGTACCTGCGGCAGGCTGAAGGCGATGCTCCCAGGAGCCACAGTGTGATGGGTCTTGACTGTGAATGCGAACTTGTGGTTGGGCGTCGTCTTCACAGTCACGTGTCTGTGGACAGAGGAGACGTTTGGACGCTCGCTGATCTTTAACCTCAGACTGTGACGTGATCTCCTCTCCTCTGTGACAACAACTTTCTATTTCATCCGATTCCTCTTCATAAATAAACACAATTTTAATTTGAATCATTATATGATTATTTAGTTTTACATTAAACTCATCATCACAGAGGGAAGTCTGTTCAGTCAGATCAGAGACTGTGAGCTCCTGGTGGCTGTTTGAACAGAGAGGAGATGATCGAAGAGACGTTTGTGCGTCTGTGTTGACGAACAGGTGAAAATAACGATGACTCACTGTCCCGACTGCAGATCCTTCTCGCTCACCACGGCACAGTTAGTCAGCGACAGCTCGTCCGTCGGGCATCGCGCCGCTTGCATAGTCTGTGAAGAAGAAGAAGAGGAGGAGACGATGACAATGATCATCTCAGGTTCTTCCTGTTTTAGTTTGAATTTACTGCCAAACATGAATCCTGAGGAAGAAAAATGTAAACAAACTTGTAATAAAAATCAATTTCTACCAAATCTGACGTGAGCAGTTTTTAAGTTGTTTTATCTTCTGTCTGAATTCAGCTTCAGCTCCGAGGTCGTTAAAATTATGAAGCGCTCGTCATGAATTTCTATGTGAATGTTAAAATATTGAGTAAGCTTGTGCCTCAGCTCCGGAGCGGAAACTGGGACGTCGTCTTTTCTAACCTGCAACAGTGTCGTCCACAGAAATCATATTTTGGATGATCGTGTAAAAAAGTGCTCAGATAAACCTGCTTGTGCTCCAGCTTTAACTCTTCTCACGCTCAGACTGCTTCTGTGCACGTGTGAACCTTCCGCTCTGTCAAAACTCTCCGACCAATAGAAGGCCAGGTGTCGTGGTGAAAATGAAATAGTCCCGCCCTCCTGGTGGGAGTGTTAGCTGTATGCGTTCGAGGGTCTCGTTCGGTCGGTGACTTTAACCAGGTCCATGCCCCCCCCCCGGCCTCCAGCAGATCTCTGGTCAACACGGAGGCACAGTCCAGGAACACTGATGTTTAAAAACACCGTTCACGTCGCCATGTTTCTTTGTCTCTGTGCTTTACGAGAACGTACCCGAGCAGTTTACGAGCGCTGACATCAACACATTAGAGAAAGATGATAATTGTCTCACTCAGACTGGAAATAAAGGACAGAAAGTCTGTGTCTTTTTATTTTATCCATCATTTCTTATCTCTCAGGATCTCCCACTATTCTGACCTGAAACAGGTGAGAGGACGTTCGACAGTTAAATGAATCCAGCGGAGAGAGAGAGATGAATTATTCAGCTCCATCCTCTTCTCGCTGACCGTCCGTCTTTCACAAGGTCACACGCTCTCATTCCAGCAGTGGATGGAGAGGCCTCCACGCAACCGGCGTCTCTGCCGCAGCGAAGCAAAGGTACAAGAATTCAACCAGGAGGAATTCCACCGAGCACGTGAAGTGGTAACCATGGCAACTCCACCGAGCAATCACACGGGAGGCCTCTGGCGATAAATCAGGGTTTACAGTCGGCTGATGGTTTGAACGGCAGCAGAGGTTCCTCTATCGCTCCGACTGCTTCAAGTCATTTACAGAAAACGATCCAACAGATCCGCTCCCATGCATTTTATACATGTGACGTGTGACATCACACTCACTGCTGGAGCGAGAATAAAACAAGACGCGGGATTTTTACATTAAAGAACCAAGTCTCTGATTGAATCTGATCAATATATTCAATAAACACTCGTGTCTGAGGTTCTGTTTTCTGTTGAGGCGCATGTCGGGAGCTGGAGGGACGAAAAACATGTTCCTCCAGTAGAACAGAACACAAATGATTGAAAAGCATTTTGTGGTGATGGAGTCGGCAGAGAAATCATTAAGAAGAGAAACAGCATCATAAATAGTGGAAAACAGAAACAGAGGACTGGTGTGGTTGTAAGTGACGCCCTCGAAAACATGTGGGTAACCTGGAATTCTCCAGACATTAGATTTGATTTCCTCTGAAGCTGGAAAATAAAAACCAGCTGCTGTAGAAACCGTTCAAGGTCCAATCTTCAGGAGCTGCTCACAAAAACTATTTCTACAGAAACAGAAGATAGATCCGTCCCCTGACCCAGATTCTAATCCTGCTCACTAACAGACCAACGGACACCTGGAGAGGAAAACTCAACCGGCTGCAGGTGAAGAGAAAGAACCGGATCCAGACCTGGACTGAAATATATCAGGAAACACAGAGGACGTTTCTAAAACAGCTTTTAACTCCAATCCATTTTAAACTGTGGTGACTTCAAACCGGCCACAACATCCATCCGTCGTCAGCCGCTTTATTTGTGTCCAACGTTGTTTTCTGACCGAAGACAAGAGACAGTTTCTGCTCGTCCGCACTGAAACGCAGCCGCTGAGTTTTCAAACTAAAACGGGAGCAGCAGCGTTTCCACACTTCCGTGTTTTCAGATGAATGCTACGTAGCATGTGGCTACTTCCACCTGAATCCAAATGTCCAGCTCCTCACAGAACAAACAGAGTGTGAGCATCGAGTCGATGTCTAAAGCATCTAACACCACTTTGACATTGCAGCTCAGTCACTGGGTTGCAATGGTGCGAGACATTCTATGTGCACACGTCTCCAGGCAGAGATCCGTCCTACAGCACGCAGCAGGAAGCAGCGACACACAACCTCCACACGAGCAACAGCACGTCAGGCAGAAACAGCAAATACATTCCACATGATGAGGAAGGGGCCAGCTCGTGTTTTTTAAGGGCTTAACAAGAGTGCATCCATACATACCTTGAAAAATATTACGACCTTGTGGACGCCAGCGCAGGCAAGCAGAGAGGAAGGACAGAAGACAGGATTTGAGACAGAGGGGGGACGTAGAGGAGCGGTGGCTGCAGACGGGTGCGTTCAGGCTGCAGGGTGGGATGGTGCATGCAGGCCAGAGCTGGGGCGTCACTCTGGATTCACAACCAATTAAATTTTTCTTTTGCAACTTTCAAATTTATTTCCATCTTTTTTTTTTTTAGGTTGCACCCCAAATCTGGTGGTGATATGATGATGAGCCGTGTTCAGATCGTCATGCCAAACACACAGCGTCGTGTTTATCCTCTTCCCCACATAAGAGACCAAGTGTCTTACTGTGGTAAGAGACATGGACAACAGATAACAGAGGAAATGATCAAACTGGGAACTTTTACTGGGCCGTCGTTCGCACCAGTACAAGTCCTGTCAGTGTTTGATGTTTTGGTCTCTGGACCGGAGCAGGTTGCATCAGCTGACATGCTCAGACATCACATGTGAGGGTGAGAGGAAATACAACAACAAGTTATTCACATCACTTTTCTGTCTCCAGACGAAGCTCCGAGCTTCTTAAACCCACCAGAGATTCAACAACTTCTACAGCAGCTGCAGAACTTTGTATTTATCATCATCGACTCTTTGAATGTGTGTATTGAGAATGTTTGGACGCACCGGGACTGAAACAGATGAAATGAAAATAAGTTATGAACCTTTGACTCATAAGAAGAAGATAGTTTCCTGTGTGTGACGCTGCAGAAACAGAGGCAGCAGGGTCACTCCCTGGTCCCCCCCCCCCCCCCCCCCCCCCCCTCACTCGCTCTAAATATTCCTCTTATTCCAGGCATCTCGTTAAATTATTCATCCCGTCGTGCCTCGTGGGGGAATCCAGGCGATCGATGCAGAACCGGAGCTGAGAGTTTGAGATGCAGGCTCGTACCGAACGAGGAGACGCTCACAGAGACTCATGTACGAGGTCGAGAGACTCTGATGAGATTGTTAGTTCTTCTCACTTCAGTTGTCAGATCTGCCGTCGAGCAGCAAAACAATCAGCGTCCCTTCATCCCGCTGCGTCTCAGGGTTTGTGTCCAGTCACATGTCTGACCAGCTCGTTACCTCACCTTGTATTGATTTATCTTTTATACATCAACACAATCAATCAATCGACAGACAGGACTCCATCTTCTGTTGTTTCCACACATCAGCCCGACTCAACACACACACACACACACACACACACACTGTTTACATCACTGCCGGTGTCGTACATCATCATGAGGTTTCTATCAGCGGCTGCAAAGTGCTCGCAGAAATGAATCTCAGCATAATATGGGAAAATCATTATTTTCCCTCAGGAGACTCGTCTGAGCTCTTTTTGGTTTCG